AGTGCATTCCATGCCCTTTTGAAGAAGAAGCCAGGACAATAGTTTGAGGATAGTATTGTTCTTGTTTTCCCTGACGCAATTATCGGCCTCCAGCAAAGTGCATAAAGAGTCTAGCTGGCAGGAAGCCAGAAAGTGAACATGATAGATAGTCAATTGCCAAGGCACCCAAATGATCATCTTTCGAGGGGGTGTTCTCCCCTTTGCAGCGCAAATCGATGACATCTTCTCAAGCCCGCGGCAAAGGCATTCAGCGACCATGGAGGCATCAGCACTTTGCCGGACATCTAAACAAAAAAGGCACAGGCAAACTTGATGCAACCACACACCCTGCACTTTTGTGCGGACACGTTCGTGCTTCGCGAGCGTCTTTGTAATGATGCCGTGCCTTGCTCTTGGCAGGGACCATTTAGATTGGTCCATTCCATCCTGCAGCATTGGACCCTACTTCAAGAATTGAGGGGATGTCTAACCTCCACATTGACGATTCATATTACGCTTTGCCAAGGAGCAATGTTGATGAAAAGGGTTGCGCTGTCGTCCATCAAAGGATTTGAATCCTGATGTCAAACAAAAGTCGGGCATGACTGACATTCAAATTTTACATGAGGCGCAGGCGCCTGGCCTGAAAATGAGATTCGAGCTGCCGATCTTGCGCTACTGCCTGCATATGGGCCTGGTACTGCCTGGATATTTCGTACTTGTCGAGGGGATCCTTTGCTGCGCCGCTAGTAGCTGACACTGGGAGTTTGCCCAGCATGAGAAACACATCGTAGCAGGACAAGATTCTGTGGCATCTTCAAATGAGTCTTTAAATGCCGTGCAGTCATCGCACGCTGGGAAATTGGTTGGTTGGCTGAAGCGCAGCAGGTTTTGCCACTTGGTTTTGTATCTTCTGGCAAAATGAACGAACCTCGCAAAGTCAGAAATCAGTCTAATTTTGGTGTATCATCTCAACATCATTGTTTGCAAAGGAACGACACCTGCCCCGGGTACTCGGAGAAGAGCATTCTCAGGTTGCCAGGAGGCATGTAGCGTGTTGGTAAACGCCGACAATCAACGCCAAAATTGGTATCCACAACCCTCAGTATCTTCAAACCACAAACCATTGATGCTCAGTTGGCTTCAACCCCGAACTCCAAGCTGGGTTCAAGCCTAGGAGCTGGGTCCATACTTCCTTGCTGCCCATAGTATGCATCTTTAAATCAATGTCATCCTCAATTCGCTCGTGCTCAATGAGGTCCTCCTGGTCCACCTCTTCTGCCATGTCTGTGTCGCCTGCCACACGCAATCAATCTTTGTTGCTCAGGTTTGTGACCAGGAGTTCAAAGCTGCATAGAACTGATTACTTCCGAGTCACTCACGTCATCATCATGTCTTGATGTCCCAAATGTAACTGTCATCTCAGCAGGGCCCTTGCCCTTACTCGCGTTTCCTGATGAACGAAGGCGTGCAGCTCGTTGGAACCTCAAAGTGGACACGTACAGGCAGGAAACCATGCTACATGACCCCGAAAGAAACTCTGTCAAGAAGCTTCGTCGGGAGCATCCCTGCTTGTTGGATGTACACACGAAGGAAGAACTTGTCAATGGCCATGTACTTCAAAGGATGCCGTTTCTTATCCTCAGGAAATTCACCCAGTATTCTCTCTGAAATTTGAACCAAACAAGTTTCACCCCCATAGCAGCCATATCGGCGATCCACCATGCCAGAACCAGCAGTCTTGAACCGATCCGAACGGATGCCCATCAAACAGCCAATGCACTTCACCGACATGATAATGCCAAGGATGCTCCATGATCGATTTGGCGCTGTGTTGGTGCTTACAATGTTGAAGATCTTAGTGCCAAACGTGTTGGGTGACATCTATACGACAACCTGAGACTCTGAAACTTTGGTTGCCAAACAGTTTAACTAAGACCATCACATAGGAGTCTTGTGCAGCTTTTTCCATGGACCAGAAAGATCTGAGAAACTGATGGAGTTCGTTATCTTTTGCCCTCATCTTTTTGAAACAGTCTTCACGATGGCAGCGACAAACATTTCTTGCATAGAGCTCGGTGACTCTGTCCAGTGACTGTCCATTGTCGCTGTGCCTATGGAAAAAGGGCGCTTGGGACGGTTGAGGAGGGGGCCATAGGATTTTCTAGACATCCCACACGGAAACAACACCCAATAGTAAGAAATACTACACAAAATGACATGATTAAATACATCGAGGCACGATCCTCGTTCCACTGGATTTGCATAGAACTTTCTCTTCGAACTATTGTAAAAGGGCCTCTTCTCAGGAGCTGGGCACTACTTTCTTGTAGCCACCCAAAGGCTTGGTTCGCCCCTGGAATTCAATCAAATTGTTAAGATTGAAGTCCACAATTGGTGGCCTAGCAGGTCCAGGATGTTCTCCAGACTTGGGCTCCTTTAAAGATGCAAGAAAGGATCTCAGCCGATTATGTCCTTGATCAGGATCCGCGGCTTCTGCTGCACCAGATGCAGAGCTGGGGCCACCATTGGACTCATCTCTTACAGATCGTAAGAACCCCGCCGACTGGCCATTTTGAACCATGACCAGCTGCAAAATAGACAACTGTTTGTCAGACCCCATCTTACTGGCTGGCTAGCCTCAATTAAAACGAAATACCCCCCAAGTAAAACGAAAGTTACTTAAGTGTGTTTGCATGGCGCCGTGCCACTGGGGAGCGCGAAACTTTCTGTTGTAAACGCGGCGTGTCGCTGGTGAGCGGGATGATTGGCGGTATCGTGTGATAGGATTGCTTCTAGTGTGTGGGCAGACTGTGTTGCGAATTACGTCCGTGATGTCGCAGTGCCATGCGGATTTACGCGGCCTTGGTGGAAAGTGCGTTTGCGCGGCGTCGTGCCAATGGGGAGCGCGAAACACGCTGGTGTAAACGCGGCGCGTCGTTGGTGAGCGGGACGACCGGCGGTATCGCCTGATATGATTGCTTCTAGTGTGTGGGCAGAGCGTGTGGCGAAATTACGTCCGTGATGTCGCAGCGCCATGCGGATTTACGCGGCCTTGGTGGAAAGTGCGTTTGCGTGGCGCCGTGCCACTGGGGAGCGCGAAACACGCTGGTGTAAACGCAGCGTGTCGCTGGTGAGCGGGATGATTAAGGCGGTATCGGACGATAGGATTGCTTCCAGTGTGTGGGCGGACCGTGCGGCGAAATTACGTCCGTGATGTCGCAGCGTCATGCGGATTTGCGCGGCCTTGGTGGGAAGTGCGTTTGCGCGGCGCCGTGCCACTGGAGAGCGCGAAACATGCTGGCGTAAACGCGGCGCGTCGCTGGTGAGCGGGATGATTGGCGGTATCGTGTGATAGGGTTG